ACCTCCAGGGGTTCCAGCTCCTCTGGGAACTCCATCCCAGGCCCCCACAGGGAAAAATTCCTTCTCAACATCCCACCTAAATCTCCACATGGAACCATGGATGGTTTGGGTTAGAAGGAACCTTAAAGCTCCACCATGGGTTGGGACATTTTCCACTGTTCCAGGTGGCTCCAACCTGGCCTTGGACATTCCCAGGGGTCCCAGCTGCTCTGGGAACTCCATCCCAGGCCCAACAGGGAAAAATTCCTTCCCAAAATCCCACCTAAATCTCCACATGGAACCATGGAATGGTTTGGGTTAGAAGGAACCCTAAAGCTCATCTGGTCCCACCATGGGTTGGGACATTTTCCACTGTCCCAGGTGGCTCCAACCTGGCCTTGGACACCTCCAGGAGTCCAAAATCCCATTGGTGCCACCACAACCGGTGCCATCGCACAGCGTTGGCCTTGGACACCTCCAGGGGTCCACAGCTGCTCTGGGAACTCCATCCCAGGCCCAACAGGGAAAAAATCCTTCCCAAAATCCCACCTGAATCTCCACATGGAATCCTGGAATGGCTTGGGTTGGAAGGAACCTTAAAGTTCGTCAAGCTCAAAGGAAGGAACCTCAAAGTTCCACCATGGGTTGGGACATTTTCCACTGTCCCAGGTGGCTCCAACCTGGCCTTGGACACCTCCAGGGGTCCCAGCTCCTCTGGGAATTCCATCCCAGGCCCAACAGGGAAAAATTCCTTTTCAAAATCCCACCTGAATCTCCACATGGAATCCTGGAATGGCTTGGGTTGGAAGGAACCCTAAAGCTCATCTGGTCCCACCATGGGTTGGGACATTTTCCACTGTCCCGGGTGGCTCCAACCTGGCCTTGGACACCTCCAGGAGTCCAAAATCCCATTGGTGCCACCACAACCGGTGCCATCGCACAGCGTTGGCCTTGGACACTTCCAGGGGTCCCAGCTACTCTGGGAACTCCATCCCAGACCCAACAGGGAAAAATTCCTTCTCAAAATCCCACCTAAATCTCCACATGGAACCATGGATGGTTTGGGGTGGAAGGAACCTTAAAGCTCATCTGGTACCACCATGGGTTGGGACATTTTCCACTGTCCCAGGTGGCTCCAACTTGGCCTTGGACATTCCCAGGGGTGGGCCAGCCACAGCTCTTCATCTCCTCATCCAATATTTCTTCCCAAAATCCCACCTAAATCTCCACAAGGAACCATGGAATGGCTTGGGTTGGAAGGAACCTTAAAGCTCGTCAAGCTCCACCATGGGCTGGGACATTTTCCACTGTCCCAGGTGGCTCCAACCTGGCCTTGGACACCTCCAGGGGTTCCAGCTCCTCTGGGAACTCC